TCAATGATTTGTAGATTACACTTTAATGAAAACATTTGCTATTGGGTTAAGTTGTCATTATACGTGTGTTTTTTTTCTGTCGTTGCATTTACACCGTTTTGATTAGCAGCTGTCTAAAGCGTGCAGCGATTCGAATCCGTGAATCATTTTGAGAAGCAATTGGTTCAATTGACTCGTAATTTCAAAAAGCTCCGTTTCTCCATCAACTTGTAGAAAGGGTAATAGTAATAGTAAAAACTGACTCACGATATAGAGAGCGGAAATGAGATGTGGATGCGCTATACTCACAAAACATAACGTTAGATAAACCATTACTATTCTGCATTCACTGCATTCATAATTCATTTTGCATCGTAAAAAATAGACAAAAAACGTTGGCATCGATTTCAATACTGTAAATGCTTAAAGGGTCATGAAACCCTAAAACAAACCTTTCTTCAGCGAAATCACAACAGATGCTGGAGAACGGCGCGGCCCTATGACGCCATATCGCAAAACCCAAATAAAAGTCGTGTTCACACGTTCTTCTTCTTTTGATTTAATGGCGAGTTCCGAACCAACTTCAAAGGTGCATATCGCCACCTACTGTGATGGAGTGTGAAAAGAATGCCCAAACCCTCCTATATCCTATTATATAACCCACTATTCTTAATAAATCTCATGACTGCATGTATTTGTTTTCCTGAATTTGGACCGTCATTTAATAAGCTGGTTATAGTAAATTCCTGACATCCTACTGCTTGTAATTCTTCCTTAAGAATCCTCCTTTCTATTTCTTACATATCTTCATAACATGCTCTACAGTTTCCTCTATTAAACAGACATCACATAGACCCGTGTTGTTTTCCTAGAATGTGTAAAGTGTGATTTAGATTTTAATGTCCTGTTTGTAAATGTGTGAAAATAACTTGTTCTTTTCTACTTAAGTTGTGAATTATTTTGCTTTTCTTTATGGTTGTTTAACCTTGTAATAGTGTCGACCTGTATGACACGAGTCCCAAACTGTCTGCCATTGCCTATTGCATGCTTCTAAAATAAAATGTTTTCCTTCTGATCTACTGAGTGCAATGTTTATATTTGGTTCTTTCATTTTAATTGTTACTTTTTTGCAATTTTGTCTGCTTCCTCATTATCTTGAATTCCCACGTGTGCTGGTACCCACATAAATTGAATTATTATTCTCATCTGTCGTAAACTGTATAACCTAATCATGATTTCAGTTAAAATGTCAGTTCTATTTGTTTCCAATGATTGTAAACTCATAAGGACTGCCATTGAATCAGAACATATTATTACTTTATCAGGTCTAACTTCATACACCCACTCTAGTGCCATTAAAATAGCTATCATCTCAGCTGTATACACTGATTATCCTATATCTGTTATCCTTCCAGAGATACGCATGACAATCCCAGCTTCTGTCGAATCGCGATGTCGATTCCATTTCGATTTATCGTGCAGCCCTACTTCCAGCCTTCCTCACCTCAAACTCTGGAACATAGAATGCAACCCCTGTCCTTCCAGTGTCTTTACTCTTTGACCCGTCTGTATATATTTGAAGAAATGAGTAGTATGAATTTTTTATATACTCATATACATATGTAATTAAACTAACCGCTTCATTCATTTCCCTTCTGTTCTTATGGGAAATTGTGATTCATTCGATTCTTAGCGTTTTAAATCGATTACTGTCCGAAATCGACGATTCACGTATTATCCAGGGTGGAATTGGGGATATTACCACTATTGGGGCAAATGATATTGACTCTAGACCAACTTCATTTACCCACTCCTTTATTTTCCATGCAAAGCCTTTACCTGTTGCATTTAAAATTTCCCAGCAATCATTCAGAACTTCCCTTACAGGATGTGTTCACACGTTGCTTCAAATCACAAAAGTGCATAGACATTTTTAGACTATAGAGACATACAAATATTAAAACATGTCAACAGTATTCAGTATTAGGGCCATAGACTAAAAACACAAAACTACAGTATTAGGGCCATAGACTAAAAACACAAAACTAACCAATATGAAACAAATGTTGCAATGTGTCATTATTATTGTGATTTTGTGTGTGTGCTTGTACTTTTTTTTCTTCTTCTTCTTTTTGAGATTACACCTGAGCAGCATCAAACCTGTTCAGTGTTTTAATTAATTTCTGCTTCAGGATGGAAATCCTGAGGTGACTAGCAGGAAAACAAATTATGTTGGTGCAGTGATATTTATGTATTATAGTCCAGGCTTTTTTAAATTTATTAATTTATTCTTTAATTATTTGGAGACTGTGTCTGTGAGGATATGATTAAAGATGAACTAACACCTTTAGTTATCTTGAGAAAGTCTGATTTATGGCCTTCAACTAAGAACACACTGAGTTCCGTCTACAAAAAGTGTAAAATGAGACAGACCTGCTTCTACTGTTGCACCTCAATCCTCTAGAAGAAAGATGAATATGTAAGCATTTTTTTTTTTAAATCAGGACAGTGTTTTAACATTGGGGATGATTTAAAGGAAGACATGTTGAATTATTGCAGCATTCTTTTTTTTAACATTCAAAGATGTTATTGCAGTAGAAACTTTTTACTCCACAGAGATGTCTATGTCAAAAAGTTTGACGTTTGTGCTATTCGCAACGTTTTGAAAAGCTGCTGCTGATATTTCAGCACCTGACAATCAAGTACAGACCCTACTTATCTCACAAAATGTTATATTATAACCAGTCACACATGGCATGGAGATGAATGGAGCAGAAAAGTTTTCTGTTGAGCTACATGTGGCATCCTCACTCTTTGGTTTAATTCTGAACTACAAATTAAATAGAAAATTGGTTTCAATACGTTAAAATAAATAGCTTACCCATTTAAAAAAAGCAATAATTTTTAGATGTAAATACTATTTGATGTTTAAAATCATATGGAGTTGAACATGAAAATACAATCTCAGAATATTTTTCTTTCTGTTCTCGTTTCTTCTTTCTTAAGTGATTCTGCCTGTTAACAGCATGTTTATCACTAATGCTCAATCAGCACTTAATTAACTGCAAATCTGCATTAGTGGTACTTTTAACAATCTGTAGTGTGGATTTTATAAACACTCTGTTTTTATATCATCAGCCCATATACACTATCCCATGTGGGGGCCTTCATGGAAACTTAGTACAAAATTGGCTGTGTCCGAATTGGGTAAACCAGGTGCAACCCCTTTGAGCAGTAGCCCTTCACTGCAACACAAGATCCAGGGGGCGGAGTTGGATCCAGGTCCAGGGGGTGGAGTTGTATCTAGATCCAGGGGGTGAAGTTGGATCAAGGGGGGGGGGTTGGATCAGGTCCAGGGGGCGGAGTTGGACTGGTAATTAAATAGTACAATGAATCGTGGTATTATATTCACAAAATATATGCATTTGTTAAATTTATTTCTAGTTAGTTGATTTGATGAATTTTTGGCTTTTCATTTCTGTTCATAAAGATGCATGATAAGAGTGTTTATACCATCTGTACTGTGATTGGCTGGATTAGTTCCACGTTGTCATTGTCGCTCACATTACGAGATCGCGTGGCGATAATATCAAACAGGTTTGAAAATATCGTAGCGTCTGTGATAGCTCGAGACAGGTTCAGATCACGTTGCTGACCTACTCATACTTAACGAGCTTCGGCGACCACAACGAGCACCGATTTGGTCACGATCCGGGGGTTTTGTCGCAGACTGTGGAAATCTGTACGCGACAGTAAAATACAGCCAAAAATCCTGTAGTGTGAGCCAGGCTTTACTTGCGTTGTAAGTAGCGATGCACCGATATGAACATTTTGGCCGATACCGATAACCGATAATGCTTTATTTTTGAAAGCCGATAACCGATATGTTGGCCAATAAATCTATATCCAAATTTTTATATACTTTTTGAGAGCCTGATTACAAAAAAGGTCTCATCATTAAAAGCCACATCCCAAACACTTCAACATAAGCAGCCTAGTTTGAACGGTGTACGTTTTAAAAATAATTTTACTCTCCCATTACCAAATTTAGTCATAAAAAAGTCTTACAAATAAATAAAATAATGCATAAATAATGCAAACAAGTCACTGAACATCATTACACGTGTAAAGAATCTAAATTAATGCGCCATAGATCAATAAAACGGAATAGCCCCTGCACAGACAATAATTAAATGATTTTAATTACTAAAATCATACGACTCATGATTGTGAGTCAATTGACTCATCACGACTCATCGCCGATACCGATAACAGAAAAAATGAGCATTTATCGGCTGATACCGATATGGTGGCCGATATATCGTGCATCCCTAGTTGTAAGTATGCGGAGACTATCGTTTCCACATCGAGTCGTAAATAAAGTTATTCTTGTGACGGAAAAAACAAACTTGCTAAAAACAATTTTTTTAAATAACGTTTTAAATGCTTAGTTAGAAACACTGTAGTTTGTACAATGTGGGAATGGGCACATATAATTACGGGCAATAACCAAGTATTTTAATATTTTCATTTAGAGAATCATTTGCATTACCTTCAAAACATTATAGCTACCTACATAAAAATAGAATCTTACGTTTTACCATCCCTGAAAAGCCCGTTGTTTCTTGTTACATGTAAGAATAAATATTTCTTAAAAACAAGTGTATTCTTTGACTGGCTGATTCTTTACCCCTCCCAGTAGTCCACTTTGACTTCAGATACTTAAGTAGATTAATAAATAGGCACATCTGCTTTTATTGGAGTGATATTAAATCAAGTTACTACTTCAAGTAGAAAATGTGTGCTTGAATTCCACCACTGATTATGCACATTATTATAAAACTGTATATGACTTAAGTAGCAGCACTGTCAGGTTGTCTTCTGTAATTTTTTATTTATAAATTACTTCCCAAGGGCATTTGATTTAATTTACATAATCTCACTTAAATAAATGCACGCAAAATGCATTACCAACACAATGAAATCGAAGAAAAATTTTTTTTATTAACACACAACTTAAAACAGACACTGAATATGGTAAGGAAACTTTGAACATGAAACGCAAGGAAAACCACATTGGGAGCACATCATAAGCACACTGACTAATCGCTAACAGAATAACATGCCAACATTAGAGGGGCATTCAAAATCAGAATTTACACAGAATTAAATGATAAATCACTCATTCATCCTTTCATACTGCACTGCAGCCACTACATCATGCATACAACACACTCAAATAAGGTCAGCACAGATTTGGCAGAACTCGCTGCAGAAGTCTGGGTGGGTGTCTTCACTAATAATTTTTATGAGTTCCCCCCTTCTTCCTCGACCTACATATCCTACAGGTTAGCAAAGAAAGGAAACAAAGAAAATAAATATTCCAATGTTCATTATTTTTGTAATGTTTTAATTCATCATTAAAAGCTAAACACTCCATGGCAACAACTAACAATGCATACCTGGAGTGCAATTTTGTATAAAAACATTTGTATAAAAATATGTAACAAGTTATGTAAAAACTACTAGGGAACACTTACTGTCAAGCCAAAGAAAAAGGACTCGTCTCCTGAAAGCTTCCTGTGTCACAAGGTCTCTGAAGTGAGTGCACACCAGGGCCAGTGTCAGAATTGCCTCGTCACCCTCCTGGAGAACCACATCGATAAAAATGTCCTCCAGAACAGATGCTGGCAACTGTAAGCAAATAAACAAAAATGAAATATATGTAAGAGAAAATATTGGCCCCAATGCCCAGTTCTTGAATTTATGTCTTTGTTCTTGCTATACATGTATGTAGTGGGTAAAAATTAAAGGATAACAGCCCGTTTTCATTGTGAAGTAACTAACAGGGTGACTCTGACATTATACCGCAAGAATCCCATGGTCCTTGGGACAACCATACATGTAGTCCACTTGATACTCCTTGAGGCTTCCCTATAACACAGTAAATGGTGTCAGAAATAAAACAAAGAAAGTGAAAACTTTGGAAAGACAGCATTGTTTTGCAAATCTGGTTCTCACCTTTTATGGCTCATGCACTTCAATACTAGGTTGAGCCAGCACTCTCGAATGTAAGGCATGTCGGTCTTAGGAAAGAAGAACAAAAAAATAAAAAACTGAGGCAAACTGAAAGAGTCATCAACTAATTTCTGTAATAAATTCAAGGCTCTCACCTGGGTGAAATCAAATGGCCACTCGAAAGTAATGTATAGTGCAATACTGATACATAAGACATTGATTTTATATATATTTTCTAGCACTCGCATATTCTTTCTATTCTTCCTAATGAAAGATGCATGCTAAAAATGTTATTGTATTGTTCAAACGTTACAATACTACGAGGCTTACATTAAACAAATTAGGCTAATGAGCAACCGTTAACTTCAGTAAAATAATATTAACAATAACTACGAATAAAAAAAAAATCAATGTCAACTTGCTTTCATGCTGTACTGCCAAAGATAAGTGGTTGTAGACATGATTCTCCACCACGTGAAGTTCCATGGTGGTTTGAACACTTTTGGTCCGCAGAACGGGCAATGGCAATTACAGCAACAGCTCTGGCATCTCTGAAGGGCAATCTTCTCATTGCCGCAACACGGTTCTGTGCATCTATGGACAAGGTTAAATGTATTTCAAATGTTATTTCTTGGCAAGTTAGCGATGAGTAACCTGGCTACTGGGTAGCGTCATCTCGCGGACAACAGTTCACATGTTAGCTTACCATAGCTATAAACATCTAAACATACCAGCTGTATTTCCAACGCTAATTAGTTTAACCAAGTTAGCTAACTTAATTAGATAGGCCACCTCTGCAGAGCTATACATGTGCGCGCTAGCTGTTATCTAGTTAGCGCTATTAAAGTTACTTAAACATGTCTTGGCGTTATCAAAAAGTATGGACATCCTTAACTGTGATCTTTACTTTCAGGCGTACACTACATTATGAATCTATCTCGACTATTATTAATCAAATGTAGACTTACATTGATAAGAGTAAACGTTTGCGACCACGGGCTGCAACTTCACAAAATATGCAGGTTCATCCGGTGGAACGTTTATAAAGTGGGAGGAGTTGGATCTGGATCCAACCTCGTCCCCTGGATCTTGTGTTCTGCAGTGAGGACCATCTCCCTTTGAGCCCCACATGAGTGTGCAGTTTTGTTCCAACCCTGCTCCAACACACATACCATGTAGTTTTCAAATAAGCCCGAATGACTTGATTTGTTGGATCAGGTGTGTTTAATTAGGGCTGAATCTAAACTCCGCAGGGCTCTGGCCCTCCAGGAATAGAGTTTGACACCCCTGGGCTTGACTCTTCAGGTGTATCTGTAAGTGTGATAGCAAAGAAAGCTGGTCAGAAAGCTCTCTGATTTCATCAGAAATATCTTAAAGGTCACATATTTTACACCTTTCTTGAGTTTTATTTTAGGTTTTGATGTCCTTAAGAATATATATTTGCGGTACGAGTACCAAAAACCATCTCAATATATTTTAACAGCTCCTCTCTCAGGAGCTCTGCTAAGAACAGGTCGATTTTGGCCTGTTTAATTAATGTTCTTGAGCCTCTCTTTTGATTGGCCTGTTGTTTTCTGAGTGACGCACAGCCAGGCCAACCACAGGTAACTAGGGTCATGTATGCTGTAGCACATCTTAGAAGCCAGATGACCAGCGCCTCACTGTGCTGTTATAGCCTTTGTGAAGGATGATGATTTGTGTCGATAATGCGAGTTAAGTGTAAAACCAATACGTAATAATTATTATTTTAGCATCCAAATATGTCGTGATTCGCGAATATGGAAACATTTGGATTCGTGCCGAATGAGAGTTTCAGTTTCCCTTTAAATTAATTTGTTTTTGGCTTGACGTTTATATAGCCTAAATACTGTTAACTTTAGAGGATTTGTTGTGGAGGGAAGGGAATAAAATAGCCTGTGTTTATAATGTTTGTAAACATTTTGATTTCCCGGTATTTTAGCCTACATTATTTCTGAATGTAATAGTAAAATGTGAAATGTTTTTTCCTCTCGAAACGCAATTTTATACAAGTAGCGTTTTTTAACCATGCAGCAAACATTTTAAATATCTTGAAAAAAATACTTTGTCTTTAAAGCATTGACAGTTTTTTTGTTTAAAACATTTGGCCAAAATCTAGAAAAGATGATGCTGGCTATGACTAAGCGCAATTTAGGCAATTTAGCCGAAAGAAAACGTTGTGTACTTTATTATTATTAGTAGTAGTAGTAATAGTAGTAGTATTGGCAAAGACAAAGTTTAAAAATATAACGCTAACCATTTTTTCCTACTCAAACCAGTTTCAGAACGGTAATAATACAGAGAAATGCATGAACAGGAACCGGTAAAATGCAGATTCTGCTTGGAGTGAACCTATTTTTTTCCCCTCATTTTTAAGTCCTGCTTAAAGCATACAGAGCCTAAGAATGTTATGTGACATGCAAAAAATAAAAAATAATTACATCGTGAGCACAAATTTGTTTTCTCGTTTTACTAAATTGTGTGCACGATATTACTAAATCATGGCCAGGATTTAGTTGAATAAAATCAACTAACGAATTATTATATCGTGTGCACAATTTACTTAAAAAGAGGGAACGAGTTAGTAAGTTGTGCACACGATTTAGTAAAATGAGGGAACGAATTATATTGTGCACACGCTTTACAAATTTTTTTTTTTCCTGCATGTCATGTGTGGGGCTCCATACATAAGCCACTTTAAGCATAAAAATATCCACTTTGATTATGGTGCGGTTGTCTTAGAAGTATAGTGTTTATGACAAGTGAAATGTGAGAAAATTAAAATTTTCCCCGGTTGTTGTTTTAGAACATCAAGCCCGCTCCACTGCACTACCTTTGTGCTCATGTCCCAGGTCTTTTGCAGTGTCTCGAAGCACTGCCTTTTAGAATGTCCTGCGACGGGGCCCCCTCGCACCGCGGGGGTGTCCCGTACGCCACTGGCTGTAGCCTGCTGTTGATTGGAACGACAGGAGACATCCAACCACCTCCTCAAACGCGCTTACAACAGGATGTTTCAGAATGGTAATTAATGTTTTTTTTTTTCAAACACTGAATACCGCAAACCAAAAGACAGAGACTGAATGAACTCAATCTCACCGTCTTTAACTCAATAAAAACAACAGACACCAACAGGGCCGGTGTCTGTAACTTAGGAAAACAAACAACGTATTTTGTCTTGTTTCCAACAGATATTCTATCAAAGCTTGTGGCAACCATAGACTGTACAAAACAACACGTCAGCATCAAGTTAGCAAGACGTTAGCGTTGCATAACCGTTTACAAACTATGATTTCAGATTATGCTGGCTCCATAATGTAACATAAAATGTGTGAGAAGTTTACTTGCGGGTTGCGGATTTGAGGTCGGACCCAACAATGTAGGGACTGCAGCATCTTTTATGAGTAGCTTCTTTGAAAAACCGGCATTGAACTGTGCCTGATTGACGAAGCAGTCACTTGTGAAATGTGCAGAACAGACGGTTAAGGTCGAACTAAATTGCTGTGTTATTTCCGAATAAATGAACATTAGCCACTGGTCTCTTATATTAATGTTGTTCGGAAGCCTGTACAATGATGTAGTTTCCTGACATCCATCGACTGAACAGCATGTTTCCGTGTGGTTGCTCAGCTCTGGCATGGACGCGATGTTGTCTGGGGGTTTGGCAAAAGGAGGGTGGGACGATGGGCAGTGCTCGGGGTGGTGACTGAAGGCGGTGACTGAGTAGTTCTTACGTCACATTTTTCGGAAGTCAAAACGGCTTGTAAAAAGGCACAGCTACTTTATATGCAGGCTGTGTACATTTGACTGTAGATTGACTGTTTTGAAACTTATATGGTAGTTACATAGCCCCTAGACCTCAGTTATCATGAAAAAAAAGCCAGAAAATTTAGGTTTTGACAATATGGGACCTTTAATTTGTGTTCCGAAGATCTTACAGGTTTGAAATGGCATGAGGGTGAGTAATTAATGACAGAATTTTAATTTTTGGTTGAATTAACTCTTTAAATGGCTATTTTTATGTGTGAAACATATTTCATACTGATCACATCTGAATGGCTTCTCTCCAGTGTCAATGTTCATGTAATATCTAACCGTGCGTTCACACATCCAGCGAGAGCGTCAAAATTCGCTCTGGCCGCCCTGCCACCAACGCTGTAGAAAGATTTGTTGATGCTCTGACGCTCGAATGCTTGGTCTTGTATTTAAAGGGGCAGCAATGCAAACAAGCGTGTTGATCTTGTGCAGACTGACCACAAGTAGGGTATAAGTTAACCTCATGAAATATTTTAAATGTGAAAGTAAGAAATTGATCGATGGAAAGAACTTAATTATAGTTACATGTTTGCTAACGAAATCAACAAATTAAAAGCCTTCATAGTTATGTGCTAGTTGCTAGTGTGTAAAATGCGTAATGTGCTAGTCTAATTTCAACATGCAGTCAGGAGACGTTTAACTTACTAGCCTTGGTCTTTAACATTAACATTAATTTGTGTGCAGCCTACATTACAAATTGTCCTGGTTGAAGTGTAGCCTTAATGCAATTGGTCAAATCGGTGTTGTTTTGAGAAAATTAATTGCATTCCCGCTGAAAAACAAGCATTGTAGCGCGAAAATGCTTGGGAACTAATGTGGTCAGAACCAAAGTTTACAGGGCTGCATTCTCTGGAATCCTCTCAAGCGGAGGACTTCTACATTCCGATTGGTTGCCGCCGAACCGCGTCATAGCTCATTACCATCAAGTTAGCTCATTACCATTCTCGCCGCCGGCTCACATTGAAAATGAATGACTTCCGGCCACTTTGACACTCTCGCCGGCGACGGTGTGAACGCACGGTAATGTTTAGTTCTGCTGTGAAGCTCTTTCCACACATTCTTCAGGCTTTTCAACATTGTGAATTTTCATGTGGACTGTAAAGTTTCCTTTTTGATTGAAACTCTTTCCACACTGTTGGCAGGTGAAAGGCTTCTCTCCAGTGTGAATCCTCATGTGGACTTTAAGGTTTCCATTTTCAGAGAAACTCTTTCCACACTGTTGGCAGGTGTAAGGCTTCTCCCCACTGTGGATTCTAATGTGGGCATTAAGAGTCTGTTTATGTGCAAAACTCCTTTCACATTGAGGGCATGTGTAAGGCTGCTCTCCAGTATGAGTTCTCATGTGACTTTTAAGGCATCCTTTTCGAATGAAACTTTTTCCACACACTTTGCAGGTGAAAGGCTTCTCTCCAGTGTGAGTTCTAATGTGCCTTTTAAGCATTACTCCTTGAATAAAACTTATCCCACATTGAGGACATGTGTAAGGCTTCTCTCCAGTGTGAATTCTCATGTGGTAATTAAGGTTTCCTTTTCTGTTGAAACTTTTCCCACATCGTTGGCAGGTGAAACTTTTAGTTTTAGTCTTTTGAGTTCTTTTTTGTGAGGAAGTCTTTCCAGTCTGTAAGCAGCTAATTGATTTTTCTCCAGTTATGAAATATTGGTCTTTCTCTTCAATTTTATGCAGTACTCTTGTCTCTTCTTTCAGCACCATCAGATCTATGACAAAAAAGACAATTACACAGTTTAATGTCAAAAAGCAATACACATTAAACCAACACAAAGCATCAAAACAACATGTATACTAGATCCTATATGCACTCAGCTACTAAAAGAGGTGTTACATGTAATCATTTCTTTCTTACTTACAGATGACTCTCCCACTGTTACCCAAATGGTTTATATATATTATTTCCCTTTAAAAGTTAGTACTTTCAGGAGGAAAGGGCACACAGATGTCCATCTGGAAATACAATTGTGCTTAAAAGGATCTGGTTTGATATAGTGAGCACTTTTTGTTTGTTGCGGGTTCGAGTCTCTGTGTGTGTGTTCACTGCTGTGTGTGTGTACTTAGGATGGGTTAAATGCAGAGCACTAATTCCGAGTATGGGTCACCATACTTGGCCACATGTCACGTCACTCACGTCACTTTTGAGTATGAACAAAATATTACTTATAGACAACAAGCGTGACGTTGATCACTCACCTTTTGCAGTTTGCTCTATGCGAAATTAATATTTTTGTTAGCTGTTGTTGCATAATTATGTGACAGAAATGAATGATCTTTTTGGTTTTCAATTTAGAAGTAGATATTGGGTTCTATCTGTATTTTTTAATGTGTGACAAGTTGTAATAACGAATGCCCAGCTTGGAAGCAGGAGCTTATCAGGTGCATTTAAAGGTAGCATTAGTATTTGGCTGGACATGTGTTCACATTAAACAGCTTCAGTTAGGACACTCATATGACATTGCAAAACATATCTTTTTTTTTTAAAGAGAAACAGTTTAATAAGTATCAGTATTATTCACCTTTGAGAATGAAAACTAACCTGTTTGTTCCTCAGTATCTTCTTGTTTGACTCTGAATGCTTCTTCAATCTTCATGTCTTCACTCTCCTCTTTAATAAACGCCATCTTTATAATAGCGTGTCGCATGGATCTCAGTTGCTTCATCAGGGTGTTTTCTGTGTTTGCACACATTATCATGTTTAAGATGCAAATGAAATTGGACAGAAAACCCAAACTAAATCTCTGGGTGCATCTCAATCAGCTCCCTAGTTCAGTAGTCAACACACTGGTAAGCAGTCAGTCATAGTGACAAATTGTCTTAAAGGGGTCATATGATGCGATTTCAAGTTTTCCTTTCTCTTTGGAGTGTTACAAGCTCTTGCTGCATAAAGAAAATCTGTAAAGTTGCAAAGACTAAAGTCTCAAATCCAAAGAGATTTTCTTTATAAAAGTTCAGAGTCAGCCACACCTACCTAAAACGCCTCGTTCTAACACGCCCCCACATGTCTACATCACGATGTGGGAAGATTTGCATAAC